GATATATATAATAAACAGAAAAGTTCCTTAAATGAACTATATAATAGTCACATGTTGATTTTGACTCTAACCTCATTTTACTTTGTTATCATTAGCTTGGCTTTTGCTCCTGTGATGGTATATGAACACAGTAAGTGTAAACAGGAAAAATACAATGATATACCATGAGGTCTTCGCTTGTGTTCCCAATGATCAGATACACTTCAGGTCTGGTTTTATTCTTTTCCCTAAACCTACTTATGTGTGTTTCATTTAGTCGGTCTTAAACTCGGATAAAATGTAAAGGTTGTGTTAGGCAGTCGACAACATAAAACTTTGTTTAATTTATATGATATCATCAAGGATATGTTATCATTTTCCCTTTTTAATTTTACTCTATCTTTTCTTATAATGTATACTTAAAAATAACGTGCAGAGGTGTTAAGAATGGATGAAAGCTTTGATTCTTATTCTCTTTTCTTTCTTCATTCTTTAAGTTTTCTTTCTCAGTCATGTATTTCTTTCATATCTTTCTTGCTTCATCAAGAAGATCTTTTTTATTCATCCATGGCTTAAAGCAAAGTTTAGCATTATGCTTATTTTTTGTCTTTGATTGAGTATCTCACAAATTTAGTTATGAGACTAACCTTCAAGCCATGGTTATAGTTAGGTGCAGATGACATTCAAATTAGAGCCCTTGACATGCAGGTAAGGTTTACCTGGGTTTAAAGTCCATTTTTACTGCATTGATCAGCCTGAATACTATTTTTTTAAAACCAAAGTTATCCTCTCACTCTATGGGCAAGGAGGTGTGTGACTACCCCTTCCGATAAGCAGGAATCAAAGCTAAAAAGACGAGTAATTAATCCCATAGGCCATTTACTAATAGGGTGATTTCTTTGTACATGGGTTGAGCAGCCTTGGTAGTTGGTACTCCCATATATTTCATTTTTGCTTATAGATTTTAACAGTCCATGAATACTTTAGTAACATTGTAATGCCTTTAACTGTCGTTGCATTATTGCATCTCTGACAGAGTGTACATGGATGAATGTATTATATCTTTTGATGTTTAATTGTTATTGATGCTGATGTTACTTGAAGTGTTAATAACATTCAATAATTTAAGCCTCTTTTTTTTCACATGCTGCACGAATAATGTCATTCTATAGTTGAAGATATTAATGGGATTCTAAAAGTTAATAGGGACCCTGAGTGGGACCTTATTTAACTTTGGATTTGGTTTTGTGTACCAATTCATTTTTCTTAACAACTGAGAACGAGTTATATATGGAGTTGGGCACATGCTGTGTTTTATAAGCACACGCAATCACTTACATGTGCGTGCTTAAAGGGTCGGATTATAAGAGCATCGATTTGTTGGTACATATGTTATAGTTTGAAACTTTAATGGGATTTGTTGGTACATATGTTATAGTTTCAACCCAATTACTTAGACATAAGCAAGAAGGGGATTCTGGCGAGGGAAATGGTGCCATGCAAGAAGAAATTTATATATGTTTAATAAAGAATGTGAGAGAAAATAAAAAGTATAAGAAGTAAGAATTTTTATTTACTTTTCAAATTGATGAGAAGTTATATAACTCTACTAGTATAAATAACATCATCCTATGCAATATGTAGTAGTAGAGAAAAATATGAATGCATTCATAATTGTAAGAATTTTTTAACTCAGGTTTAATCTTAATTGATTTAAATATAATTAATAGAAATGATTTTTTTTACTCATGTGTAAGGGATCTTATTACATTCTCAAATAGACTAAAAAGTCAATTATTCAATTTATTTGAAATATACTTAATAAGAAGGACAATCACACAACTAAAAAAGATTAGTTATTTATCGGAATGTGACAATATGTTTGGTTATATGAAGAAAAAAAAATATAGTGTATGGCATGATTAAGTTTATAGTACCACGCCACGGATGAGGACTCGTTCCGAATGGTGTCATATTTCATGTCCCGAACCAATGACATATTACCATATGAATAAAAGATTTTTCTTAAAAACAAAATATAGCATTTTCATTGGCTTGTGACAGAGAATGAGACACCGTTTGAGACAGGTGATCTCGGTCCCCACGCCACACCTAACAACTGAGAAAAAAGGTGGCACTTCCACGTCAAATTGGGAGAGCCTCGTGTATCTCTGTGGTTCACCGCATGGATCATTTGTACCAAAATAATAATGTCTATACTCATTCTCAGTTAATAATATTGTATCACGTTATTTAAAAATTCATATCATTCTTCGCTAAAAAAATATTTATTCCTATGACTTTTCATTTTCATTTTCTTATTGGCTGTGACGTGGTTTGAAATATCATTTTGGGACAGGTGATCTCATCCCACCACCCCACATATGATTGATGGGTCTATGGGAATCCAACGTACCCAGAGAAATTATTCATTAAATGGGCGATGGTAAAATATCAAATAATTGATCTTAACACTATATCTTTAAGAGTTCCATTTTTTATGAATAATACTTGACAAATTTGTGTAAAACAAATGGAATAACCATTATATATACATGTACAAGTCTCCAAACGTACTTCAATGTTCAAACACAACATTACACAAAACATAATAATTGCAAAAAGCTGGGAAATGAAATGAAATACGAAATTGAAAATGTTTGTTAGTCGACACCTTTCAGCTGTTTATTATTTTATCAATAAAAAAACTGCATCAGAAAAGATAGAATATTTGTTATCAATTATCATGTGGGCATAAAAAATGATGTTGGGAAGACTAGTAAAATAATATTATTACCTGAACTAATGATTAGAGGCCCATGCAAAGGAACATGATCATCTATCCCTCTGTCTTCATCCAATAAAGTTGCACCAAATAATATAAAATATTATTTTATAATTTTTTGTCATAATTAAATAATATTTTTTATTGGTTAGGAACACCATTAGAACACCAAGTGGGACTACGTGCAAAGGTCTTAACCTTTTGGGTTTTCCACCGACTCTGTCATGTGCTCAGTGCTCACACTGAAAAGTGGTCATGATAATGAAAAGCACTTAATTTGGTTATCTAACATCATTCACAAATCATAGGTCATGAGCCTCTCGCTATCACGCAAAGTTGATGCTAAAGGCAACAAAGAAAATGCATGGTACCGACACCAGAGGAGAAGTAGGAAGCAATACAAAGGAATTTTTTACTGAGAAATTGTCTCCACTTCCCATTTAATAATCAATAATTTCTTAAGTCATATTTACTGATATTTCTCTAATATTTATATATTGTCGGTGTAAATATGTATTATAACTTACAACAATTTTAAATGACACAAAACAATACTAACTAAATGAGTCACGATATGATCGAATTGCATAATCCCTAAGATAAAACAACTCAGTTTTCTGTGTTTGAATTCTTACTGGACTGTAATAATTCATCTCTAATACACTCACCATAATATAACTATCAATACTAATTTTGTTTTCCTACAATTTCACTAGGAGCATGAGTTCTTGAAATTCACACAATTTGGCTCTATCCTAATTCTAGTACCCTAGAGAAATAAAAAGAGAAGTAGGATAGAAATGCTCGACAAAGATTATGAAAATGAAAAAAGAAATTGAGGAATAGACAATTCAACTTAGGATAATACAATATAAAGGAATAATGATTAAATATGAATAGTTGATGATACAATGTCACTGTATAAAAATCTTATATTATCAGTAGATATATATTTTTTAAATCATGGTTAATATAACACATGGACAAACCTCAATTTTTGTTATAAAGTCTTTTTAATAGGACTATAAGACCCCCTTTATAAATAACTAATTTAGAAATTGCAATTCGTCAAGTTATGATTTTTATTTTAGGAGACTACATTTATCTCTGTATTCATTTTATTCTCTAGGATGTAATTTCATTTGAGTGGCGGCAAAGATCTCCTAATAAATATAGGAAATATCTTAAGTCTAACTTATAACAACTAATTTGGATTTATAATCGTAGATTATTTCATTAATATTTGTTAATTTTGGGATAACTTTAATTTTTTAGAATGCATACTATATATTATAAAAAGATAAAAGTTATCGAGAGTGGTCATTGAAATAACACATCTGCATGAGTAGATTAACTTAATGGTCGAGAAAATATCAATAGCTCCTTTAACTACAAATAAAAAACTTGTAACTGAATTCATAAATGCATAGAAAATTTATAATTTGTAAACTTTGCAAAGTTTAAAGACGTGTAAATAACTAGTGAATAAAGTTGCATTATATATTACGTTATTGACAGACAGTGCAGTGTTTGTTAATCTGTTTTCTTTTCGTTTCCTGTCAACCCGATAACTGATGTAATTAACTAATGTATAGATATATTAGTGTAGATATTAGTATATAAGATAGTTGTTAACAAGGGCAATATGAGAAATTAAAAATTACACAACCTTGGTAGTTATAACATGTTTTCCCTTTATATTAGTATAGATATAGACACCAGATTTAACCCGACACAAATCATATATTTTGAGTGGTGTCTCATTCTATGTTTTGAGTCAATCAGAGTTTTTAAAAAAAATATTCATATGGAAACATGTGATCTGCATGGTATACAGAATGAGACACAATGAGAGACAAATAATGTTATTCCAACATATGGGTCAAGAGTCACAGCTCTCTCCTCGTGATGTGGGGATCATACTTACTGACACAAATGAATAGACAACAACGTTGATTGGAATGGATGTGACAATGAGACCATAAGATGTTAACCACACACTAACCATTTCACATTTGCATGGGGTTCCAATCCCATTTACCCTTTTGGAGGGGTAATAAGAAAATAGACAAAACAGCCTACAACGTGATATTACATAACTTGATTTATTCATATGGGATATTTATTTATTAAGTGGGGTCATTTGATTTTAAATGTATACTGATATTGCAAATCTGGTTGCATATTAAAATATCATTCCAGAAACCATTCAAATCTCACATATTTTACTAATATATATGAGATATTACTTCCTCCAAATATTAGAAACCCTATACATTTATACTTCATTTTCTGTGATATACCATTGTTTATTACTCTTTTGTAGTATTGTATTCCTTCATTTCTTTTAATTCAGTGTACACAAGCAAAGTCTAATTTTGCTGCCGTATGCCAAAAAGGAAAATAAAGAAATTGTAGGATATGGAATCAGACACAATCTTAGTTGGTCTCTCTTGTTCCCTGCTTTTGTTCTCAGGATTGACGTATAGGAACTGGAATTGAATATACAGTCGACGTAAAAGCTAACTTTTACTATTACTTTGCCAGCTACTTAGTTCTGACAACTTCAGGCCATTGTTCACTTCATGAGTGCCTTATTTGTGGGTGGATATTAGGATTGAGCATAGGTCACAAAAGACATGTCCCTTATATACACGCTGATGGATCATAACGAGTACAAATGGGGTAACTATCTCCTGAATTTTTTTATTATTATTTTTGTACCTTCTTACCTATGTGAGCTTATTTAATGATCGAAAAACATGTTGCTCTATGAGTCACTTGTTGTGATTATTTAAAAAAAATACTTAATTATAATTTTTAAATTATAGAATATATTTTCCACCCAATGAGCAAGAGAATATTAGTTTGAGATGTCAATTCCAATATTTTATTCTTGATATCCTTAGCCATCTAAGTTTTAAAAACTTTCAACCATATGTTGATAGTCGTATCTTATTTAACCGAGTTATTCATTTTATCTTGAATGCTGTACATCAACTATGAATTTTTGGTTATACATTGTAATTAAATATTGTTGCACCTCCAATAGTTTAAATCAATATGTGTCACTACTTACACAACCTTAAATGTTAGTTGAGTTATTTTTCAACACAAACTCGGTTATAGACCTGAAAGTTAATCTGATCTCAAATGTCGATTGAGTCACTTTTTGAACCCAAATCCGATGTTATACCCGATTAAATATAACATATATCATTTTAAATGAAGTTGTTTGAGTATTATTTATAATTATAGATATCTAATTTCACATATGAAATGATATGTCTAGATATTTTATTATCATTTATATATATATATACTAGCAAGATACCCGTGCGGATGCACGTGGTGTCATTTTTTCCGTATGGTTAAGAATACATGTTTTATATGTACATTCATATAGTTAAAACAAACATGTTACTTGTGTATTTGTATGAATAAAAACGCATATGTTACTCGTGCATTCATATTATTAAGAAGACACATGTTACTTGTGTATTCGCATGATTAAAAACACATGTTACTCGTGCATTCGTATTGCTAAGAACACATATGTGACTCATATATTTTAATGGTTAAAAACAAACATGTTAGTCGTACATTCGCATTGCTAAAAACATACATGTTACTCGTGTACATTCATATGGTAGTTGATGGTAATGGTAGTTAATGGTTATTAGTATTAAATATTGTAAATGAAAATTCAATTCTTGAGTTATAAGAATTGATTTAAGGAAATTAATTGTTGGATATAATTTTAAACATATGTACCTGGTTATTAATAGAAATTAATATAAATGAATATATAAAAAATGTGGATAATAATAAGATAATATGATTTCTAATCAGAGTATGAGATATTAATATAATTGTTTTCACAATATTATAAGGAATGTGCATAATAGAATAATATGATTGCTAATCAAAATATGAGTTTAAGGAAAATTAAGTCATATAAGAGTTGATTTAGGGAAATAAAGGAATATTTTTGGAGGGAAAAGGAATATAAGAATAAATGTGTATAATAATATTTTTATGAAATCATGAATGATCATTAAGTATAATAATTATATTCATTCTAATTGAATTATTCATGAATATTGCGGCGTGGTAATGGTGATGAATGGTGATTAATTGTTGAGTATAATTGTAAAGATATGTACCTGATGATTAATATAAATGAATATATAATAAATGTGCATAATAATAAGATAATATGATTATTAATCATAGTATGAGACATTAATAGGATTGCTTTCACAATATTATAAGAATTTAAAGCTCCACTTATAAGAATTGATTTTGGGAAAATGAAGAAAGATAAGAATTGATTTAGGGATGAATATATAAGGAATGTGAATAATAGGATAATAAGATTGTTAATCAGAATATGAGATATCAATAGGATTGCTTTCACAGTATTATAAGAATTTAAAACTCCACTTATAATAAGAATTGATTTAGCGAAATTAATTGCTGAGTATAATTTTAAACATATGTAGGTGATGATTAATAGAAACTAATATAAATAAATATATATGAAATGTATATAATAATATTGATAAGAATTGATTTAGGGGTAAATATATAAGAAATGTGTATAATATGATTGTTAATCAGGGTATGAAATATTAATAAGATTGCTTTCAGAATATTATACGAATTTAAAGCCTCACTTATAAGAATTGATCTAGGTGAAATATATAATGAATGTGCATAATATGATAATAGAATTTCTAATGAGATTATGAGATATCAATAGAATGCACAATATTATAAGAATGAAGAAATATAAAATTTGATTTATGAAAATAAAGAAAGATTTTTGGTGGGAAAAAGAATATAATAATAAATGTGTATAATGATTTTCTATGAAATCATGAATGATCATTAAGTATAATAATTATATTCATTCTTATTGAATTATTCATGAATATTCCAGAATGGTAATGGTGATCATGAATGTTGATTTTAAACATATGTACATGGTGATTAATAGAAATTAATATATATAAGAAATGTGCATAATAATAAGATAATAGAATTGCTAATTGGAGTATGAGATATTTATAGAATTGTTTTCACACCACATCATAACACCGATATTTTACAATTATTATCAACACTCTTTGCTTACAATCTCATGATTCTTTTTCTTCTTCTTAGATAACATTACATCTTACTTTAATTTTCTTCATTTCTCATTCTAAGTTTTTTAATATTCTAACTTTGTGATTTTTGTTAGAGAGATTCATCATTTTCGAGATAACGTGAGTGAAAATTTAAAGAATTATTTTTGTTTTTACATAATCAAACTGCAATTTCCTGTACGTAATGGTAATTGCATATGTGCGTAATAGGATAATCTTACAATCTCATAATTTTTTTTCTTCTTTTTAGGTAACATTATATTACATCATACTTTAATTTTCTTCATTTCTCATTCAAAACTTTTCATTATTCTGACTTTGTGATTTTTGTTACAGAAAGTTCATCATTTTCGGGATAATGTGGATGAGAATTTAAAGAATTATTTTTGTTTTTACATAATCAAATAGCATAATAGGATAAGAATTATTTGTTCCCCTAAACTAATATATCTTTAATATAAATTAATATGAGAATATTATAATGAATGTGCATAATAATATAATATAATTGCTAATCAGAATATGATTTTAGGGAAAATGAAGAAATATAAGAATTGATTTAGTGAAAATGAAGAACATTTTTTGGATGGAAAATGAATATGAGAATGTGAATATGATTAAGTGTTTGGTAGAAAAAAAATGAAGGATTAATAAATGTGACATACACGTGTCATTTTGATGTATGATATGAGAAGTGACATGCATGTGTCATTCTGATGTATGATATAAACGTAGAAGGTAAAGATACAATATGGGATTATATATGGTAGTTGATGGTTTGATGTATGATATGAATGTAGATGATAATGATACAATGTGAGACTATGCATGGTAGTTGGTGAGAGTTTGGGTGAGAAAACTTTGCATGAGAATATGACATGTGTCCAAGACTAATAATGAAGAACATTTTTTTTCTTATAGTATAATAGATTGGAAACATTAGAGACTCAATAATATTCTGGGTTAAATATGTGTTATTACTATATACACAATTGAATATGTACGTATAAACATGACGAATGACTAACTATAAGACAACCTAAGTCATATTTGCCTATTAATTAATCCTAAATATTGATCATATCTAATTTTTTACCTCCAACCTAATGGTAGACCACATAAACCCAATCATGTTTACTATTCCAAAATGAATATAGAGAAATGATGGATTAAAAGAATAAAAAATATTTTGTATTTAATTTTCATATAAAAATGACCAAGCTCGAGTTTGTTTCTAGTAATTATTATCAAACTAGATTTCGGTCTAAAATATAATTTCTCAATTCAGTAAATGAAAGTTTAGAAGAAAAAATATTTTTCTTTCTCTTAGTGGTGAAGCCACAAGACTTACATATTAGGCAATAGGTTAACTTACAAATTGGGGGAAATCGCAATTCAATTCATTTTAATTTCAAAATGAATAATCCATTCGTTAGTATAAGGTGTCAGCTACTTGAAATATATCTACAAAGTGTGTGTTTGGGTGTGAGTTTATAACTAGATATAAAATATCTTTGAAGTAGAGTAATTTATGTTAGAATATCTTTATTATTAGAGAGTGAAGCAATTCAGCAATAACGTGGACATATTATTAAGTTTTAGCAATCATTAAGTTTTATATTGCCCTGACATGTTACACAATAATAAGCGAATCTGCATGAGCTGAGATCAAAATACATTTATTTAAGGAGAAATCCATTAACTCTAAGATTAAGCTATTTAAATTTACTCTACATTTTAGTCATACTCTGCATTTTAGTCATTAATTCTAAGAAAATCTAATAGTTTGAATTAGTGAATAGATTTAAACCATTGGTTTTCCTAAAATTGATTCCTAGGATGTGGATTAAGTTTAAACCACTTACCTTGAAATAAGGAGATACCCACACTTTATTTATTGTTTTAATACAATAAGGTCAGCAAAACATTAGTAATCTTTCATCCAGTACAAACTTGACCTTGTTTATCACGTTTTATAACAGTATATATGGATGAGGGAATGAGTTTAATGAGTCAATGTATATCTTCTATTTAAAATTAATAATTATCGATAAAATAATAATAATAATAGATGATATATCAATCCTAACCAAAAAATTGATAGTGTCATTTTCTAAAAAAATCGGAAACGTATCTGAAATTATTATTTGCAATAATGTAACAGTAGTCGATAGGTATCTGTTTAATAAATCAAAGGTGATGGGAGCATGAATTATTTTCTATTTTCTTTAATGAATTCTATTCCTATACTCTTCGTGACACTCTTTTAATTTGTTAAGAATATTAAAATAAAACAATTGTTGATTGTATTGTAAGAATGTTAAATTACTCAAGAATGTGTCTTATGTGAAGTTAAAAATTATTCTATTCATATTTTCTCTTTTTAATTCTTCGTAAAGTAAGTCTCACATCGTCTATCTATATTGAAAATAGTTTAAATACATGTTGGACTACTCTTCTCATTGACAATTGATTTTGAGATAAAACCTTAATATGGTATCAGAGTCAGATCACAACTTCTTTCCAGTTGTCATGTGTAAAAAATGTCCTTTAGTTATGGGTCAAATGTAACCATTTGTCTGGTCCGGCAGACTTATGTAGATGAGGCATGCTGAGAAGTAAGTCACACATCACCTACTTCATTGTGTTGGGAATTGTTTAAATATTTATTAGGCTACTTATCTCTTTATCAATTAGTTTTGAGACGAAACTTTAACATATATTTAAGGTCAATATTTGACTAACTCATTATTG